ACACAGAAATTGACGGAAAAGTTTAAAGCTGTTTTTCCGTGGGTCTTTGCTCTTTTTTTGGTAATAATACTTTGCGATGTCTCTCTTCACTCGAATTTTTTTGAAATCCGAGTTTTTTTTGGGGGTTATTGTGTGTTTCGATGCTAGGTCTACTGAGAAATTTTGCTACCTTTTGTGTTGATTAGTGATTTGATTTTGAGATAATTTTGTTATTAAGGAGTCCCAATTTAAGGGTTTTAGACATGGTGGTTTGGTTTGCATGTTCGTTTAGATAATAAACATTGAAAATTACTGTGGATTGTATCTGCATAAAGGCCCAAGCTTTGAGTAGAATGTGTATAGTAACACTTCATTTTCCAGAATATTTCTCGGATTGTAGAAAAAAAACCCAAAATATTGATGTTAGGTATTTCGACCAAATATTTTTGTAACATTTTGATTTGCTCCGTTTGTATATAAGTTCATTCTACTTTCTGTGATGATCTCTGGTGTTGTTGTTATGTGTATTGATGATTCTCACTTGAATTTGTATCTTTAATTGTCTCAGAGGAAAAATTCACTCAGAGGGTTTCAACACTAATTACTACTAGTGCATTATCGAAAAGTCGAAAGCTTCAAGAAATGGACAAGGGAAGCCATGAGGAGAACAACGACATCATCTCTGGAGATTTCATGGCGAAAAGGAAACGAGGTCGCCCGAGAAAACACATGAAGCTAGGCTCGAACAACGAGCAGTCTCTTGGTCATCCTCCTCCAGGGTTTAGCAGGAGTCAGCAGCAGGCTCAGCAGAGAGACAACGATGAAGCTATGGTTGGACAACCGGTTAGTGGCGTGATTGAGGCAACATTTGAAGCCGGGTTCTTACTTTCGGTTAAGTTTGGGAATTCAGACAGAATGCTTAGAGGTGTTGTGTTCAAGCCTGGTCGATGCGATCCTGTATCTGTTGATAACGATATTGCTCCTGATATTCCAATGATTCGAAGGAACAACAACGTCGTGCATCATCAAGGCTCAGCTAAAGGAGGTCGCAAATCTAGATTCCGGGAGAAACGTGGTAGTAATGTTAAAAGCAGAGCATTGGTTCCTGTCCCGATTCAGCCCGCTCATTCGACAATACCCAAGAATCTTTTGGTTCCTGTCGTCCTTCAGCCTGCCAATCTACAGAATGGTGGCAGACAGGTCCCAGTCCACCATGGTCCTATGCAGACCGAGACCGGGTCTCAAGCGAGTGGAGGGAGTAATGGCAAGCCGTTTGAGACTCTGCTTACACAGGTGATGAAGAAAAGTCAAGTCCATCACGCAGCACAGTCCATTGAAGCCGAGTCAGACGAGCAGGCTCTGTCTATCGAGCCATTGCAGGCGATACACCCAGTTCATCCAGTACATGTGCCAAAACCAATGCCGAGTTATGGACAAGGCAATATGACAGAACTCCTTCAGGTAATAAACATTAAGCATACTGATGATTCTATCCCAAAGTATTACTTTATCTTTCTCTATAGAGATTCATGTTTGATTTGCTTTAGGCCGTGCAGGGGAATGTGAGAGAGAGCCCTTTTTCTCAAGGACAATGATTATCTGAAGATTCTCGCTGCAAATCCTTAAGAGCTTTTAAAGTCTGATTCAATCTCATTGTAATCAGAAATAGGAAAACAGAAGCTAACTACTGTCTAGCTTAAAGATGTCTGAGAAATTACAATGAATCATTAAATAAAGAGAAATTAGGGTTGATAGCAAAGAATTTTAGGGTAATATTGTGTCGAACAGACAAAAACTTGGTGGGCAAGGCCATTCGTCTGTATTAATGGAAGGTTACAATGATGAATTACCATTTCTTCTTCAATTAGGGATTTCACTTTCAGTCTTGATCGAGAACATTCTTCAATTAGGGTTTATCTCCTAAATCTCTTTGCTTTTCGCTTTTAGAATTTCGTATCCATGTCTCTGTTTCTGAGCCGGATCTCGAGGCTCCGCCTTGGGAAATCACCTGCGTTGGTGAGAAGATGCTCTCTTCTTTCTCTTCGTCATCTCTGTAATGGATTCTTATCTTCTTCCTCGCTTCAAACCTGTCCTTGTTCCATCATCGGCGCTACTTGGTGTGGAGAGCATCTCGCAAAACTCGCCATTTTCAATGATAATGACAGCAAGAATGATAATGAAAGCAAGACCACTTATTTGGATAAGAAGGTGCCCGCGGATTTGGTGTATAATGATCTCTATGACCATACAGTGGTAACCATCGGTTCATCTCATGGCTGGGTAGCTACTTTGAGGATGGACGACGGAGTCCTTCGTCTCCAAGACGATCTAAACCCAGCTGCGTCCGACACACATCCGAAACGCATCCCCCTGCCTCCTCTTGTACCTCTGCCTCGTTGCCAAACCCAAATCGTCACCAACGTGTCAATGTCCTCTTCTTCTCCTGAGGATGAGGACTGTGTCGTGGCTGTTAAGTTCTTGGGTCCTCAGCTCAGCTTCTGCAGACCGGCTCAGAGCAACTCCGAGTGGACCAACGTAAGAATCGAAAACCCCTGCTTCTACTCCTCCCGAGTCATGTTTTCCGAGAAGGATCAGAGGTTTCGCATTCCCGGATCTGGAGGTCACCTCATCGGGTCATGGGATCTCTGCCAACACATAACCAAGCCCAAGTTGAAGAGGTTGCGATATAAAAACCTTCCCAAGCTGACCCAGGACACCAGCGAGCTTCTGGATTCGTGCTGCACAACCGAACATTTGGTGGAGTCAGTAACCACGGGTGAGACTTTCTTGGTTAAGTGGTACAAGAAGACCGCCCAGATCATCGATGGTATTGGCAAAATGAAATCAGAGGCTTTAATGGTGTTTAAGCTTGACGAACAAGGGAATGCGGTTTACACTGATGACATTGGAGATCTCTGCATTTTCCTCTCAAAGTCTGAACCTTTTTGTTTCCCTGCTAGCTCCTTTCCTGGCATGGACCCAAACTGTGTCCACATTTTTGATTTCGACGAGTCCGGAACTGTAAAAGTTGCTGGTTACCCCTTCATCAGTATACTTGGTACATTCTCCGCTCCTTACCACATTCCACCTCAAAATTTAAACTAGCTAGTAGTCTTTGTAATCTTAAGTTTATTATGTTAGCACGTATTGTTCTCTGAGTAAGAGAAAATAGTATCTCGTTTGAGAAGATATTGTATCTGTTCCTTCAGATCAAAAATGAAAAACGTCTTCTTAGTTTATTCTTTGATTTGACAATCATATTAATATGGATTTATCTTCTTAGAGCTCCATAGTTTCTTGTAACCAGCATTTCAAAATCGTACTGTTAAGTGAGCTTTGATCTCATATAGTAGTAGACAACAACTTAAACCCGCCAATGAGCACAAAACAGAAACAATGGAAAGCATATGTGGTTAACAAACCCGAGGCTGAGATCTGTTTAGCTTAATTTCTATGTCGTCCTCGTAATCGTCTTTGCCACTGAGTAGCAGCCTATTAAGTGAGGAAGAGCTTTCGTTTTTCTATCACGTTTTGAAGCCCCGGAACCTCTACTACCTCTGCCTCTCCTAGTAGTAGCTTGTCTTTTACGTCCTTTGCCTTTAGTGTTCTCATTTTCCTTCTTTAATTGATATGAAAACAAGAATCATGATAAGTAAAATGCATACACATTTACTTCAAATCAAATAGAGGATAACAATGCCAAAAGATATTTAAGCTTTCAAGTTTAAATACATGAGTTTTCTACTCGCACTGAACAAGTTAATAATCGTGTAAGGAATAGTCCATACTGTTAGGAACTCAGATTCTGATGTTGAACAGAAACCATCTCACTCACTCGTCGAAGAAGATCGAGAGAGAAAGGGATTTGGAAATTGTAATCTGTTTCTGCTAACGATTCAACAAGAGCAATACAGCCTTAATATAACTTTGGTTTAGCACATGAGCCTTAACCAATTCACAGCTTAACCGGAACAAACCGGGTTTACACATTTCACTCTAATACATACCGGACTGCTGTTAACATCTTCAGGCTCTGCTTCGTCGCTTGAAGGAGAATCTACATCGTCTTCTTCAATGGTGGAAGCACTTTTGAAGGAAGCTGAAGCAGGTCTATAAAAGACAAATCAGGGACACAATATTAGCTAGCTTGTGATGCCAATCAATGCCGGTTCCAAGTCCCTGATTCCTAACCCTAAACTGTTGAAACGTGATGACAAAAAGTTACCTTTGAGACTGGCGAAAACCAATCTAGAGTGGCTTGCTTCATCCTTACCTCGACCTCTTCCTCTGGTTGGGGCTTTAGCTCTACCACGAGATGTATTACCAGTGGATGAACCCCTCCGGCCTCTAGTGGCAGGCAGTGAACCAGGGATCTGAGTCGTGTCTTCATCATCAGTGAACGAAGCATTCGCGATGCCACTGCTTCTTTTCGCCAAACTCTGTACCAATCTCAGGTAGGAAATAGCATTGTAAGAAAGCAATGGCGGGAATGGGATAGAGGTGAATGTAAAATCAAAACTGCAAAGGAGATTCTAATAATGGAGACCTCTGATGTCAATCCAGTGGATAAAAACTGTGAGGAACCACTTGGTCGAGTCCGCCTATCTTTCAAGCGTTCCTGCACAAACGATTGATACCCTGAAAACTCTGATCTTTTTTAGTATTTGCCTAAAATGCCTTTAAATAAAATAAAACATTAGTATAAAAGATTTGGGGTTTTCAGGCTTGAGTAAACAAAGGTTAAAAAAAATTATAAGTTAATCTCTTGGTGCTGTGTTGTAGGAAGCATTTTAGGTTGCAAAGTCATCTTAGCTGGAAAAAATAACTGTAAAATTAGGAAAAATGTAATGTCGAAGAAGAAAACGAAGAATGCAATTTTCTACATTAGCTTTAAAACATATGAAATTCCTACAATATTTTTCATTTGAAGTCAAGTGTTTGATGTGAAAGTCTTAATTATTATTTTATCGAATTAGATCGATAGATCTTTTTCCAGGTGATGTCTACATTTTATTGTATATTGTTATGTTTGTGTGCTAGACTACTAGTTATGTAAGAGTATGATGAATGTTGGGTGTTAAGAGTTTTTTAATGGATTGCTAAGGGTTAAAAATAATTAAATAATTTTTAAAACTTCAACAGTGAATTGTTAATTTTAACATTTTAGCACCTCAAAAATAGGTTGCTAATGAATTAAAATAATTAAATAATCTTAACACCCCAACTTTAGCAACTAAGGTTGATTATGCTCTAAGAAGCTAATGATTTTTTTTTTCTACTAAAAATGTAAATATTTTATTGAAAATGAAAATTTTAAGGTTTACAAAATGCATTATAAACTTATGTAATGGTTCTATGGCAAAAAAAGTAAAAAACATGGAAACATAATAATCTAAGATTTTCAGTCTATCATTCGACATAAGCACAAGTGCTAATGGAGTTAGACAAAGTGATGACGATTATGTTCTTCCAAAATCCGAATGGCGAAAACAGTCGTCGAGAGGCGTAAGTAGCAAACCCACTGCATTAGAAGCCTTTTAATTGAGGCCCGAGATCGAGATGTCAATGGCTAGGACCAGAAACTCTCAAAGACTCCTCTCGCATCATGAGAGCGTCACTAGATCCACTAGACCATGAGCTGACCCGATGAAGCAACCTCACTATTCAAATAAACAATCGAAACGAGCTCACTCTACCAAATTCCCTTGAAGTCGGATAGCACAAAGATGGATCACCTAATGGGATTTACTAGCTCCTCTAATGCACAATCTGCCTCAAACAAACACAACAACATCAGAAGTAAGACACAAAGAACATCAGGCCTAGACGCCAACCAGAACTATTATACTACAGAGATGCAAACACAAGGAAATAGCCGGATAGCCACCACCAATAGCTGTACCAAATCCAACAATACATCACCATAAGGATCAGAGAGAAACTCGAATGATCAACAATGACAAGGCCTCACACCCGAGACACCACAATGACCAATCTCCATAGGAAACTGTCTACAGACAAAGACCTCTAAAGAATCGACCAATTCATCGAGCCAACTTGACAAAAGAGAAACCACGAGACTCAACCCAATCAGCATCACCTTGAAACAAATCCTAGAGGGGGATGAAATAGAGATCGAGGTTCCATAAGACAGAGAGACAGATGGAAGCCAAACCACCAAAACGCGGCGAAACAACTTTGTCTCGGCCAAAAGAAATCTCTACAAACACACCCCCAATTAGACAACACCGGTCTTCAAGCGAAGACAGAGGCGACCCACATCAAACCACAACCGTCCTCAAGTAAAAATGTTCTAGAATTTTATTATTACAATAATCAATTTGTAAACTATTTTTAGATGAAAAACGAAATTTACTTATAATTGTAGAATGAAAAACGAAAATGTCATCAAATATTGGTTAAGACTCTTTTGATTTATTTATAGAAACATGTATAAATTTATTTGTAGATATTTTGTTATTGATTCAAAAATGTCATGTCACATTATTTTCAACCCATGTCACATTATTTTGGTGAGAGTGATTGTGGAGATGACACATAAGCATCTTCTCACAAACCAATTCTCAAATAATGTATAAGAGATTTCTTTCAAAACCTTTACTTTTAAGATTTTAAAATTATACCCATATATTTTATTTGTAACCTATTCCAACAAAAAATTACAATAAGATTGAAATCAAACATTTCTGATAAAAATAAATTTTTACTACACCGTCGCATAAATAGAAAAAGGACAATTG